TCCTGCGTCTACTCGATCAGGCAATTAGCACTAGGTCTCAAAAATTAACCGCTAACTTGAAGTATGCCAGTTTATACTGAGGTCTATAAGTGTAGACCCAAATTTGATGCATGAATATCTCATGGTAGAGGGGCGCTAACAAATCGTTCTTACGGAACTCACTCGTTCCGCTGTGCCTTACGGGCTCTCTCTAGAGCCTAACCAGCAGCCGCACAGCGGCGCATGATATAAGCAAAATGCTAATACCGACAAAGACAAGGGAGACTGGAGTGACCATTGCTGGCTTATTAGCCGTCGTCAGTCAGTCATACCCAACCCCGAAGAGTGGAACACCTGGGGCTCGAACTCGCGACCTGTTAGTTAGAAGTGCACGCCTCTAGCCGCTGAGCCTCGGGTCCTTTGTCATGTCGGTTTCGATCGGGAATATACAATGGTAGAGTGGCGCTTACGGAAACCGACCGCACAACGGACCCGTGGGCCAGAGGTTAGAGGCGTTGGACTTCTAACTAACAGTTCGCGAGATCGAGCCCCAGGTGTTCCACACTTCGGACTTGGGTATGACTGGCTGACGATGGCTAATAAGCCAGAAATGGCCATTCCAGTCTCCCTTGCCTTTTTCGGTAATAGCATTCAGCATGAATACCGGGGCCTGAGTCTATCAGCCACAGCTGGAAGAAAGCGCAATATTCGTTAAATGCCATCAGGCGGCTAGTATTATATTTTAGCGTTAGAGGATATCATACCAGCAGTATATGTACTAGACAATAAACCCCGACACGCGGGTTTCGTCGATTTTCTGCCGTTGCATGGCACGGGTGCGTGGATTACGGCTTTTCCGTGGGTGCCCTGGCATTCCCCGTGTGCGGCAGAATATCGGCTAAGCACGCGTGCCTGGACGTTTAGCTGGCACCTCTGCTGCTAGTATGGCATCTTATGACGCTAAAATATGTAGTGGACAACCATAATGGCTGCGTCGCGTCACTCGCTAGCGCCTTTACCTACGTCCTAGCGACAGCCTGCTATGATACGCACGTCTGCCCGGCTTCGATTTGTCTCGTTGCAATTCATTGTCTGCACCGCGCGAGGTTTGTCACTACATTCGCGTGGGCTCGGAGCCAATCAACGCAACCCCTATCGCTGATTGGTAAGACAGGCGGGAACAGTCCAGAACAATAGAGTAAACAATCTGCAACGACGCTTTTGCAGCGGCGACCTTCGGCGACACACGGCTCGTCGCAGTCGCGGACGCCGCCTCCGCGGCGCCGGGCGCATCCTCGTCCGGTTGCCACCTTCTCTTCATTATTCTGTACAGAATAAAGTGTCCTAACCAAATGGCGTCCTGCTTCTAACAACTAGGGATATGGCCTAAAGTTGTGGCGTACTGAGCGTACACCATCACCGCTTAGCCGCTACAAATATGCTAGCAGCTGCCCGTCGGCAGTTAATGAATATTATACGGTCATCCCGCTATAACTCATAGACTTTGGCCTGAATATTCACACATTAAATTTCCGTCTGCGCCATAGACCCCAGCATAAAGTGATCTACTCCAAATTAGCGGTTAATTTCTGAGGGAATTAAAAGACAACAATTTCTAAACTGAAATACCTACCAGAAATCACACGGGGAATGCTGGGAGACCCACTGCTGTGTCGAAACCCTCGTAGTTGTGCCGTACAGCGACATAATATCGACGAAACATGCGTGTCTGATCTTCTAGCCAATACCTGGGCCACTAACGCAAAAATGATACTAGTCCTTCAACTGGCTACATGGACGGAGTTTGAACACATGCTTCAACTGGGTAACATTCGGCTATTCAAGAGCCTGCGGGCGTAGCCTCTTCACGAGGTGCCCAACGAGACATCTGCGGACTGCCGACCTCGTGGCGGTACGTGAACTCAGTAACGTCAGTATTCTCGATCGGTACCCAGTGCCTCATCTTCAGGATTTTACCAGAACTGGTTGGACAAAACGGTTTTCTCAAAGATAGGCCTGTTGCGTGCCTTTTACCAGATATTTGTCACTCCGGAAGATGTCCCGAAAACTGCCAATGATACTCCACTTGGACTGTTCAAATTCATCCGCGTGCCATTCGGCACTCTCATTGTCGTCCAAACGTTCCAGAGGTTCATCGGCTATGTTTTACGTAACTTGCCGTTGGTGCACGCGTGAATCAATGACCTCTTAATGGCTAGTCGGAATGCTGAGGAACACCTCGCCTTTGAGCTTGGTCACCCCGACAAGTGCGGCATCATTTTCAAACCATTCAAATGCGTATTCCACGTGCCCTCCCTCGACCTCCTTTTCCATCACGTCGATGCAGAAGGTTAGCGTCCTCGGCCCTCCAGGATCTCAGTGATTCGTGACTTCCCTACATCAGCCCCCAAACGTCAGTTGCAACGGTATCTTGACGTAAACCACTTTTACCCCGGGTTCCCACCAAACTGTGATGACCTCACGTTCCACTCACCAACATGCATTTTAGTCTGAGCGACTTCCTCGAGTTTGCTGGTGAGACATTAACTGTTTCTGTGAAAATCTCGCTGATGGTAGATTCTTCGTCAGTAGCTGTTGATTTAGTCCTCCAATAGCACTTTCCCGGCTCGACCCCACAATTGGCTTTCATTTTCAAAAAACCCTTACTAATCAAACCTCACTACAGTGTCCTTGGTCGTCAGATTATTGTCGTCTACTTGAATGTAAGTCAGTGTTGCTACTTTCCTGAAGATCGTGAGTTCATTGTTTAACGGACCAAAACGGTTGACACTCTCCCGTCAAATCAAAGAGATCGCCCAGCTTTACTACATCTCACATTTCATCAACGAAATCCGCCACTTTGATGACACGAAGAGTGAGGTGGCCGACATGCTGTTCATACCTTTCCTCTTCGCACTGCAGTTGCCACATGGGGTCCACCCTGTTGCAATGGCAGACGGGTATCAGCAAATCGGTTGTCATAGGGACGGCTCAGTGGACTTTAGGGTAAGGTGTGGTTATGTAGCCCCACTTAGTAAACACAATACTGTTGAGGTTGGGGTTATGATTAGGGGTTAGGGCAACTATTTCCCAACCACTCAAAGCACAATTGCGCATTCTCAGTATCCGCTCTTTTTCATGCAACTACTTTTCTCGTCGCCTGTGCGTCCCCCGGCCTCGCCTGTAATACCCTAATTGCCACCGGTCCCGTATTACAGGTGACTGGGGTTTGTTTACCTCAGGTGCGGCTACATAATCACATCGGATCCTTGCAGGACTAAGCAGTCAAAACGGGGACTAAGATGCACCAGCAGAGCACTACCCGCACACTGTGGATGTCTTATAAGCACCGAAGTCATAAAGCTAAGTCATAAGTTACCCAGTCTAACTATCATTAAACTACACTTTCCCGAGCTCACTAGTTTCCGTGACGCAATTGCCTTCACCACGTGCTCATCCCGTTATCTTAGGATTTCGCATCTCCGGAAATCACATGACCAGTAGAGGAGGAAGTGCGGTTTCGGAGTTTTTCACTTTGGGGTGAAAAGGCAAGATCCTATTTCGTAGCCGCACCTGTTAGGAATTATGGTTAAGGATTAGGATTAGGGACGAAGGTTAGGGTCAGGGGTTGAAGTTAGGGTTAGGGTTAGAGTTGGGGGCCAGGGGTTAGGGTTAGGGGTTGCGGGTTTGGGGTTGGGGTTGGGGTTAGGCTGTGACTTGTCTACTGCAGGTACGACTTCGAAATAAGATTTGACCGATGTTTTATTTTAACGGCTAGGATGTAACGGACGGATGCGAAGGCTGTTAATTTTGGCCGATATATATTTGTAAAATCCGTGTGTGCTCACTACCCTTATTTGTTGTCGTCTCTGATCATAGACCTGAGTGTAAATACAGAGCTACCGGCAAGCGTAATTGCGACCGGGCCTCCTTCTTCCCAGATGCCTCCTGGAACTCGCCTTGTGTCGCCAATTTAATAGTTCGTCTGTCCTGCGACTGAATTATCTATGCAAAAGCCTTTTTTTATAAGATGCCTTGACCTCTGCCTAGATTTGGCGTCTGCACAGGTGCCGCTAAGGTGGCGTATTGCAAGAACCTGTTTCATAAAATCGTTTGGGAAATACGGAGCTAGAAAGAGGAGTAGTATTTCGGCAAAACATACGAATGATATCAGCGTCCCATAATGGTTTTCATTTGAGGCCTCGCAGGTACATCAAGAAATTGACCAAGGGAAGATGAGACGCTGAGTTCATGGGCTGATAGCCATAGTATAGTTCTCCGGCAGACGGAAGATGGGAGAATTCACCTCCTGATGGCCCCCAGACGGTGTACTAAATTACGTCCGCTAAACAGGCTTGAATGACACTATATAAAGTGTGGCCTGTCATACACATTACTTCAGTTTTATGCAGTGAGTGACCGATTTCATGAAGTGTTAGTCGAAATTTCGAAATGAGTTTCCGCTAGAGCCTTTTTATAGTTCATTAGGCAGTAGCTGGGTTGAGACCATTATTATCATTACCAACGACCGATGCTTCAGTAACATTGCGTTATTTACAGAAAATGTCGCCCCCTGAGCAAAAGATGAAACAAAATGTGCACAGGCGGTATTACAGTCTAAGCAGAGTTATTCAATAATTTTGCCCGTTCATTTTCCGCTGATGAAACCAAACATCAGGTGCATAGCGTAGGTTCAACCGCACTGGTTTCATAAATCCTGGAAAAATGCGACTGACTGCGACCTGAGATTCAGACTATTAGGTGAAAAACTGCAAGTATTGTGTTGACTGTGTCGCCTACTGTAAGACAGAATGTCTAGGGAACGGCAACTGAGAGCCTTCATTGGGATAAATTGGGTTATCTGACATGAGCGGGGGAAAAAAGGAGAATGGTAGGTAGCTGCAACAGCAAATCTTGACAGCGAGTTTGCTTGTTTAAAAGCATAAGATAAAATGGAGTGTTTTTTGTGGGAATAGACAAACAGCAACAATGAAACACGGAATCTCAACGAGGCAGGGAGTTCATTGACCTGTCTTAAGGATCCACACTGAAACAGTTACAGATGAGGTCAGTGGAGGCACCAGCAGCTCAGCGGTCGTATTTTTCTTCTTCTTCTTCTTCTTCTTCTTCTTCTTCTCCTTCTTCTTCTTCTTCTTCTTCTCCTTCTTCTTCTCCTTCTTCTTCTTCTTCTTCTTCTTCTTCTTCTTCTTCTTCTTCTTCTTCTTCTTCTTCTTCTTCTTCTTCTGAACTGCTTCCTGGGACCCGCCTGACTGCTTCTAGAGGCGATTAAGGATAGCCCGGTTAACGATTATATTATGCGTCTCTGTTTTGTAAAGTTGCCCGATAAAATATGCAAACGGAGATCCAATTAGGGCAAGCTGTTTTAGCAAAAAAATTAAGCTAATGATTACGCGACATTATGTGTAATATGAACTGACATGGAAGATCGAAAAGGTTCGACGTGCGGATTCACAGAAATTGAGTTCAGTTCGGCTTTTCAGAAGAAAAGTTGGGAGAGGGCCTTTGAACTCCCTATTTATTAAAAAATGTTTAGGAAAAAACACCCATAAGTAAGGCAAATTGATAGAAAAGCAGACGTTCATACGATAAATAGCAAAAATAAACGTCTACTCGCTTACTGCAAGTAGTATAACACAGGTAAATTCGGTGACCAGTTATGTGGGTTGGCGTGTGGCTGGTAAGCGAGAAGCTATTTGCGCGTCGAGTTTGCCCTTGGACGAATCCATACAGAAGAGAACAACGCCAGGGGACAGGGCTTTCTACGCGACAAATTCTCTGTTGCTGAGGAAGCAATTGCGTCAATTGATATTTGCATTATCAGCGCCTAGATTTAGGGGATGATGGCGCGAAGTGGACGAGTTGGTCTGAGTGAGAAAAATCGCTGGGGACAAAGCGACAGTCCAGGCCATTTATTATGCGGAAGGTTAGTATGGAACCACCTTGTAGGAAAGGGCAAGTAGGTTGAGGGTTGGTGATCTGTTTTCATGGGGTAGTGTCCCTAGACCTTCGGTCATTTTTGTCGCACGACTCTGCACAGTGCAAGGTCCCCATACCTCTATGACGTATTTTAGATGCGTCCGCACAAAGGCTCCGATTATCTTAGAGGAGCTGTCGCTGAGAGCTGACAACGCGGCCTCACTTTGATAAATCCTCTTTGCCATTACTATTGAAATGGCATCCAGTAGGTGTGTTGATGTTTGTTAAAAATCAGTTTGCGGTAAAAAAAGGCAAGACGGTGGGTTACCCCCTCCCCCACATCCAGAGACAATTTTCTAAATTATTGCGTGCCGAGGTGATGTCGGCGTTAGAGTCAGGTCAAGGGTTAAAGCCTAAAGATGAGGATTATTTTTATGGTTTAGAGATAAGGGTTAGGGTTAGTTTTGAGGTAAGTGTTTGGTTTGGGGATTAGAGTCAGGGCTGGAAGATAAGGGCTAGGGTTTGAGCTGGGTTTGGGTGTAACGATTGCAGTTAGGCTTTAAAGATGAGGGTTGGGGCCAGTATTTAAAAGTCAGGGATAGGTTTAAAAATGAGAGTTTGGGTTAGGATCAAAGTTAGGGCGGATGCTGGGGTTAGGTTAAGGTTAGTGTTTAAATATTGAACTAGGGTTGGAATGGGAGTTGTGTTAGGGTTAGGGACCACAGATCAGGTCAGGGTTTGGATCAAGTCTGTAGTCAAGCTTAGGTTTTCGAGTTAGGTTTGGATTTGTTTTGGGGGTTTTGGCTAGGTTTATTATAAGTTTTGGGGTTAGGGTTCGAGTAAGGTTTATGTTGAGAACTAGGTTCTAAAATTGGGTTTCCGGTTGGGTTTGAATTTAAAAATTAGGTTTGGTCTGTGATAAGGGTTAGGTCAAGTTTCAAAGATAAGTTAAGGATTATGGTTAGGATTATGTTCAGGATTAATTTTAATTTTTCTGAAACCGTTGTTTAGTTGTTTAACAATTCCATAATTTGGAGATTAACTTCATCAATTATCAGCCAAATTGATGGTTAATTAATTAATATTGATGCTTAATTGAAAATAATACCGCTGGCGATTCGTCACATTTTCGAGAACTAAGTTTCTTCGCGGAGGCCAACGACCACCCAGAGAATTTTGACAGAAAATTTTTTAAATTATATGCTGTCGTGTGAACTGAACTAGCTTGCTTCAGCAACCTTCTCCATATAACTGGCTTTCCTTATCTTAACTACTTACCACTTGTCATTTTTCCTTCACCCATAAAATCCCTACTTACCATCCTCCCGGTTTTTAACGAATTATGCTTCGGTTTTATCAGTGCGGCCACGTTTTCAGTCACGCCAGTCTGCATATGCTTAACCCCAGAGACGTTCGCTTGATGAGTTGTAACTTAGACATGTTCGACTGGGCCGCATTCGTGTTGGCTTGAGTGAACATATAATCCCCGCATCTAAATCCTTCTGACTGCTCACTTGTTGCAATGGTGTACCGTTGACAAAGTAAGTCCTCTGCCGGGGAGGCTCTGGAGCTGCCAATTTAAAGAAAGCTGCACGTACTTACATTGAAGCCAGCGCCTCGACCAGTCCTCGAGCCAGCTCAAGTTTGTTTTCAGGTGGTTCCCGTCTACCGCATTGTGAATAAAATGTCGCACTTCTATGTCGTCAGTGAACAGGCTTGTTCCCTGACACAGTAATCGAAGAAAATAAGAAAAAACATGGAGCCTTAAACTGAGCCCATTTGGTCGTCACTAACAACGCTGACGCCCGGCTTGCATTATTTAAAACGGACCATTCAAAACTTGCTGAATCCATACAAGAAGGCTTCCAAAAACTCCTACGCAGTGCAGTGTATGCAGACGATGTTGCTGAAGAACGTATTTGTCGATATGCGATGCGGTCCGCACTTCTTCTGTGCAGAGCAAACGATCACGCTCCCGATCAGAGTGTTACGTGTAGCAAGAAGTACAGTCCGTACACCGTTAAAGCACAGCAAGTTGTGGGTAAAAAAGCGATTTTCGCATATTTCTGCACTTATAACAATTAATTTAGAAGATGCTGACCGTGTAAAATCCATAAACTACCACCAGACAGCCTGTAGTATGCACACGTTGCATAATAACAGTCAAGACGCTAGCAAGAAACCCACAGATACGCGTTTCGTCGATCCTCTGCCGCTCTTCACTTGATCCCCCGGTGTCCCCCGTGTGCTTTCTGGTGGACAGTCCAATAGTGAAGTTTCAGCTTTAAGTCCGCTTAGAAATCAGTGCGCTAACTCGGATTAAATCCCTCAGAATAAAGCCGTCTATGCTCCCTTCGAATGTTAATACAAATATTTGAGTTGAAATCGGTCAGTTTCTGCGAAGTAACTGCGTAATGATCATACGGTTTGGCAAAATGGATGTATGCTCGTTTTAAGTTCCTAGCAGAAGGATCGTGAAAAACAGTGGCTTCTGCTAATCAACTCCTTGAACGTTTAAAACATCTGAGTCTATGGTATTTTTTGATGTCGTTTCACTCTTCACCTCCATTCCACAACAACTAGCGATTGACGTAGTGAGACAACTCCTGGCTGATCGCTACAACGAGAGAGACAATCCCCTGAAAACCGTACATCTCATAGAGCTCTTACCATTTTGCCTAAAAACCTATTTCACCTTTGGTGGACAAATGTATGAACAAATCAAAGGCACCCCTATGCGCTTCCCCATATCAGGGCTGATTGCAGAAGTGGTTCATCAGGTGTCAACCAAAGTTCTGGGCTCGTTACGTCGACGACACCTTCGCCATCGTCAAATCATCTGACGTGGAGCACCTTAAAGAATTACTGAACTCGGTTGACCCGAATATCCAATTCACGATGGAAGCCGAAACAAACAACCAACTTCCCTTCCTCGATGTCCTTGTGCGTCGGAGTGCAACTGGGCAATCACAAACTACGGTTTTCATAAAAGTCATCAACACAAGACAAATACTAAACTTCGACAGCAATCACTCCCTCTCTCACAAACGCAGCTGTGTCCGTACTCTATTCCAAAGACTTGAAACACACTGCAGCACACCAGCCGTCAAAAGAGTTGAGCGACAATATCTTCATGGCCTCTTTAGAACCAATGGATACCCAAGCCACTTCATCAAGCAAAGCAGGCATCGAGTCAACAGACAACGGCCACAAGAAGAACAACCCGAAGTCTGGAGGGCCATTCCTTAAATTAAAGGAGTCTCCGAGGCGGTTTCACGACTGTTACAACCCGCCAGGGTAGGCATTGCCCATCGAGCCCAGGCAACAATTTGCCACGGTTTGATGCAACCCAAAGACATACTGTCACCAACTGAAACCTCAGCAACGGTCTATCAAATACGTTGTAACGATGGAGGCTGCAACTACGTTGGGGAAACCGGACAGAAATTTCAGACCCGCCTACATGAGCACAAACTGGCAACTCGGGGACTAGACCCAAACTCACAGCTTGCGGCTGAAATCGGGGAAAGTGGTCACAGTTTTGATTTTCAAGGAGCAGCCGTCTTAGGCAGGGGCACCTCAAGGACACAGCGTCTCACACTTGAGGTTTGGTGCTCTGATACCAACTCCATCAACAGGCATCTAGACCTTCCTTCGGCCTACAAAGTCCTACGTCACTACATACGCCGTGACGAAGACAAGACAGTCATACAGAGCCTAAGAATACCGAGCAAACACGGCCTATCAACCAATTCACCCAAAAGGGGGACGCAAACGCAAATAACTCCAATTGAGGTGACGGCAGACAATACAGGAGGCCACCAACACTCACAGGCGACGGCCAGTAGGCCAAGGCTTTTTCGTCGCGTGAACTGAGCTAACACGCATGTTAGAAAACTGCCTTGAAGGTAAGGACAGACTGTCTTTTCAGACCCCTTAAATGTGTATATACGCCTTCACGTGCTCTTGTGCGGCAGGTTATATTGGTCGAACAGCTGGGCGTCTATCCAAGCGGATGCGAGAGCACCATCCTGCCTGGCCAAACCAAGGTTGGAGAAGGTCCATCTCTGGCGCAATTGTGGCTCACTTGGTTGACGGCGGCCACCGAGTAGACGTTAACTAAGCATTCCGAGTCATCTATAAAGTGTCGGCGAGACACTTCAAGTTCCCGAGTCAGCGAATACTACCGACGGCCATACGGTTAGCCGACCCAGCCTTGTGCTCGCATAAAGCTTTTGTTCAGGCGCAAAGGCTCCCCTGGGTAAAGGCAAGCCCAGCATACGTGTTCATACCCGTCACATAGCGTTATAGCGTCGAAGCACGGACAGCTAATCGTCAGACGCCTTTACCCTCCCCCCCCCCCTTAAACCCCAGGGAGAACTAGAATCGGACCATTGAGATCTGAACGTCCTTCAACCCTCTCCCCCCATTTTGACTATTATTGGATGTTCAACTTTTGCTATTCTGCCCTTATATTACTGTATAGGCCTGATGATAAAGAATCGAAAGCGTACGTTTGCCGGACTTGATTTTTTAGATGTCTACCTGGGTATCATCGCTGAACTCCACTGAAGTGTTAAGTTTTCCTGCATAAAATCATCCCGACTCTACGGGGAACATGGCGACTGAGGTGTCTGCATGTCTGTCTACCCCTCTCCGAGCAAACTCTGACCAGTACTTTTCCGTACGAATAAAGTAACTGAATAAATATCTGGGAGAAGGCACCGCTGACACGAGCGTCAATTGCGCGTGTGATTTCCCCGCGCAACGTTTAAGAGACATGTGAACTCTTAACCCCCATTCTCAGACCGTGACAAATTCTGGAGGTAAATTATCTGCTCAAAAATTATTTTTTGTTGAAGATGATCGTCGTCGGGCGTGTGCAACATGCTGCAGTACAGAAAAACACTTAAGATACTAATCTTTTATACAGGACATGTTCTCAGCATAGAATATTAAGGAACCGTCAGCCATGAAATCGGCGGTTAGATACTGGGGACATATATTCGAGAATCAACTAGTCAACAGTTATCCGATTAAACATACATCAAAATAAATACGACAAGGGTAGTTCTTCTTGAAGCCAGATAGTGTGCTATCGAAGGGACATGGGTTCCACTTCGATTTATGAGATGATGATAAGTTTATGGAATTGTCTTCAACTTTAAGAACATTTTCAACCACCTGCGATAAGGCACAGAACGAGTATTCAATATAAACATTCGATTTTTGATGGTGGATAGAG